AAGCAAGATACCGCTTACATACTTTCGGCACTAAGGGCCAATACAGAATAGCGCCTTCCCTCCGCTCTGAAGGTACGTACACACTAGTGCATTGACTTGCATAAGCGGTGGCAAAAATACATCGTGACTAAGCGAGATACCACTTACATACTTTCGGCACTAAGGGCAAACACACACTAGCCCCCTTATCTGAGTGAAGGCGTCTACAAACTAGTACTATGACTTCGATTAGCAGAGTCATATAAGCACTGTGAGTAAGCCATCGAGTGAAGCTTAAAATCTTAGAGCTTACTTTCGGCACCGAGGTTTAATAAGCACTACTAACTTCGGGACCAATAAAACCTCAGAACATATAATAAGTAACCTCAGAAAAGCGATTAAACTGAAGCACTAAACACTCGTGTCTTAACCCCAGCATTAGGGTGTGTACACACTAGTGCTGAGACTGTCAATAAACCTACTGTACACTAGTGCTTAGTAGTCTCGTGCGCGCATCAAACCCATGACCCCCGGCGCGGAAACCGTTACTTGGCAACTGCGCCAAGGAGTCATCAGAAAGAGGGATACTACATTTTTTTTATGTGAGAAGATGGCAAATGAACTGGCGAATCATCTGATTTTAAGTCGTCCGTAGGGTTGCAGATGCGTTGCCACGTTTTAAAAATATGGGATCCGGTTACCTCACTCACCAGGCGAAACGGGAAAGTATAAAACTTCCACTTCGCGCCGGTCTTCTGTGAGGTTGTGGTACCCGGACGAGCCTGCCCATTCGTGTGGCAGCAGAAGCTGTTGGGTGGCCCCACCACAGTCTTACATCATTTATTTATACTTTACAAGCAATGTCTCCAAGCCAACCTTGGGATGGCCGATGCAAGTCAAGGTCGCTGATATTGGAGTATCGATCGATCAGTATTATACGCACCGAACACCTGCTAAAACTGTCTGTCATCGAACGTGATGATTCAATCGAAACTGCAGAATTTTTCCATCGCGATATCGACAACAAAGTATAAACGAGATTTAAATATGTGTATTGTATTTGCATCGATAAGAATCTTTTACGAAACGAGCTACTATAAATATTTTAATATTCATCATATCAGTCGGGATTCTGTTATTTAATTATTAGTATCTTAACTAGTGGCCTTTATGGCGGCGTTGCAGTGAGACATCGAGATGGCCTTAACAATTAATAAATATTTTTTCGGACACATTTTTTTTACACAAAATTTTCTAGCCCCAAACTAAGCAACGCTTGTACTATGGGTACTAGAAAACTGGTAAAAGTACTAAAACAGTAACAGTAAGTAATGTTACATAAACACCTGGACATTGGAAAAACACTATGTTCATCACACAATATTTTTCCAGTAGTGGGGATCCAACCCACACCCTCTGGCGCAAGAGGCAGGGTGACTACCCACTAGACCCACAGGGTCGTCAAATGTATATTTTGTTTTTCTTACGCTTATACGGCGTGATAGCTCAGTGTCCGGGCGCTCACCTTTAATTCAATATACTCGAGCAACACGAGTGTAATCCCCGGTGCCAGCTCCGATGAAAAGGTTAAATTTAAGTGCTGAACTATCACGTGCTCAGCGGTGAAGGAAAACATCGTGAGGAAACCTGCATATTTTCGTAATAATAATTAAAAAAAATATATTTCGAAGATATGAAGTCCGCCAATCTGCAGTGGGGCCGCGTGGTAGACTATGCCCTGATACCCTCTGGACAGAGGAGGCCTTGTCCAGCAGTGGGACATGTATAGGCTGATACTTTACTTTACATGATAAACTATTCTACTGAAGATGCACACAGCAGCTTCGGATGTTGCAAGTGCGGGCTGGCTTCAAAACATCACATCCTCATAGAAGACGGGAGTGAAGTGTCTTTTGAGTGAGTAGTATGAAAATCACCAGGAATGTGGTCAGTTGAGTGCTTCAGTAGGTGTATTTTAGCCTGACCGGTTTTTATCTTAGCGGTAGTAAGTGTCTGAGCGCAAATCCGGAAGACGTGAACCTTTGAAAAACTATTCGTGAATTTATTTCTACAAATTTTAATGACCAGTTTGGCAGCGGCAAGAATATGTTGGCCAAGGTGAATTTAAATCCCAATAACTTAACTTATCAGATCTCTTACGTCACCGTACAACTGTCGGTGCAGCTGTCACTAATCTAATGGCGATTGCGCCTAGTGTGGGTTCGATTTCCACACGGGACCAGTGTTCGTGTTACCCACAGATAATTATACCGGATCTGGGTTTTTATTGTTCGTCAATATTGTCATTATTCATACAATTCATCCATTTTTTTTGTTTCATGACTATATCTTCTGCAAAAAAACATTGAGAGGAGACCTTGAAGGCCACAGTGGTGTCGCGTGGTGGTAGGGCCACGCAGCAGCCTCGGCTGTTGCACGAATGGACAGGCCCTCCGGGTGAGTACCACGACCTCACAGAAGACCGGCGTCAAGTGGAAGTATGACAAATACTTTCGCGTTTCGTCTGGTGAGTGAGGTAGCCGGAGCCCAATTTTCAAAAGGTTGTCAACGCATCTGTAACCCTCGGGTGTGGCAGATGTCCATGGGCGGCGGTATTCACTTAACATCAGGTGAACCGTCTGCTCGTTTGGCAACTTTTCACATAAAAAAAAACTATACCCAATACCCTCTTTACTTTAACGACTAAGGGGACTTTACCCATTAGTCGGACAATTTTAGGCCGTTAGTTTGCTTAAATTTTTTTGACTATATCCATAAAAAAATTACATAGTACGTTTAAGTTAATATGATTCACATGTATTGTCGAACTCACTTGCGTGGGATGATGGCGGGAGAAAGATCATCTAATTTCATCTTCTCTCTCAGAAAGAGATAACATCATTCCAGGAATTAGGTTTATTAGATAATATGTAATTTTAGATAGATTTCAGGAATAATTAAGCTTGTAGGATCGCTGCTGCATCTGCTTACTTCGATACATAAAATGGTTTGTGTGTTTTCTTATTCCTTAAAAACCGACAAGTAAAACAAACGCCTTATCTAAATATACAGGGAGGCTTTTCAAACTGTATCCATTTGTTTTATTAATATTATTGATATAAATAATGTTATATAAAAAATGATGAATATTTAAAATCACTCGTAATTAATTAATTACATTCATTTGAACTTATCTCAAAAAGTGCGTGATTTATGGGCAATTTATTTTAAATAATTTATTTTCCGAGCAATCATTCATAACTAACACGCACACAAGTTCGTTTCAAAAGTATACGACGCTTTTATGAATGACTTCCGCATTGTCAACAAGTTTTGTTTTTTAGGGAACAGAATGGCAATTTTTTTGACAAAAAAAAGTTTGATTTTATTTCAATAAGCGATTATACTACCCAAGTCTGAACCTTCTGTGAATTTGCACACCTTTAGAAAAGACACCCTGTATTCCTCTCGACAGTCCCACAAACTGGACCGAATTAAAAACGTTAACATTACTCTAATATTATCTTTTTATGCGCAAAGTTATCAAAATATACGTTACTGCTTTAATCATACTTAATTTTTTAATATTATTAGTTTTTTTGTTATCTTTATTATCAATCTAAAAGCATGATAGGATTACCACCATAGTATGAACAGTAGGATAACATTTTTTTCCATATTTATGTTGGTTATACAATAAACAAATGAAAACATTTTAATATGGCAATCGAGCAGGTGATTCCCCTGGTGTTGAGTGATGTCCGCCGCCCAAGGACGTTTGCAACACCCCTTGGGTTGCAGATGCGCATTCCACAAAGCGGGCCCCGGCTACCTCACACACCAGACGGAGCGCGAAAGCGCGATACTTCTAGTTATCACCGGTCTCCTCTGATTCTGTCATACTGTTTACACATTAGTTAGCTCGCCTTATGCGATCGTGCCAAGCGAAAATAGATTGGCATCTGATGGTAACCGGTTTGGCGTGGCGACGTTAGATTGAAGGCTGTTATTAGAATGTTAATTAATTTGTTGGCTAGTTTCGCCTCGCTGTTGCAAAGTCAATATTGATATTGCGCCCCGGTGGACTTTCTGTTTGTGCGTAATATGGCGAGTGAACTGGAGGTTCACCTATGTTAAGTGATAACCGCCGGCGTGTATTTACAATAAAATTTTCTTGTCGGTCTTCTGTGAGGTCGTGGTACTTCCTCGGACGGGCCTGCCCATTCGTGCAACAGGCACATACAACATTTAGATAAGTAACGCGTGCGAAACCGGGCGCTTGGCTAGTCGTGCCATAACTTGAACGGTCAAATTGTGCAGTCCGTTTTCTAGAAACAGGAAAATTGCCCACGTGACGAATTGTAATGTCCACATTCGTTGTGTTAAGTTTATTCCTTGACCGAGGAATTAGTTTTATGGACGTTTATCGCTAATTTACGTCTTTTAGTACGGTATCCATAATGTCACTGACTAAGAAAAGAGTGTGTATGCTCATAACAATATACATTTCATAAATTCCACCCAAAACTGAGAGATTCAGCAGAGTCTCAATTTATTTCGAGGGACGAACTAAACGAAAAAACCCGCCGTAGTGAAGCATACGTTATAAACACTGCGTCTTACGGTTTATCTAGATTTTCAACCGATTTCAAAAAAGGTGCAAGTGCTCTCAATTCTCAGTTCTCTCAATTCAACTGTATTTTTTTTTATGTTTTTTACCTCAGAACTTTCGAGTTAGTGAAGCGATTTTGATGATTCTTTTTTTTTATTTGAAAGCCGGTGCTTCCCACGTGGCCCTATATTAATTTCATTGGTATTGGATCATGGGATCCGGAGATACTTAGGGAACTCCTGATAATCAATTATAAAAAGAATACAGAGTGAGATATTCGAGGTCTGTTTTGTTATTCGTCAATAAAATAATGGACTTGTTATTGTTTCATCTTTGCTTCTTTTAGTGACTCTGTAGGAATCATTGAACAGTAGACTGAGCATGTTTTCGCATCCTCTGTTCCGTTCTAGAAGACAACGCACCCGAGCAGAGCATTGTCCGTCCCTTCACGGCTTATAAAGCGTTGAGAGACCGTCCTAACAACAAAGTAAATACACCAGGCCTCCCTTAAGGGCCACAATCGCGCGGTGCGATCCCACAAAACGCTCGCGGCCGCCATCGAGCCGAGCCGCACCGCGCAGGCGATTCCCGCCCGTGCGTGCACCGGTCCGAGCCTTGTTTGCGAAGGACGGCAGTTAGGAATTAGCGACTCCTACCGCGGCGCGACTAAAGACTGCCTCCGACGTTAACAGTTTGTGCAAACGACGCATGGCAAATAACGAGACAGCGCAACGACTGTTTGCCGACGGTTAGAGGGCGCGCTAAGTAGCGACTCGTGGGGTCCAACAGCGGTTGCCTAGATGAAGCTATCGGCAACATCCCTTGGTCTCCTATTTTACTTTTTAATATGAGAAGCTGACAAAAGGGCTGGCGGTTCACCCGATGTTAAGTGATAACGGCCGCCCGTGGACATTCTCAACACATATAGCAGTTAACTAGACGAAGGTATTAGCAACATCGTTTGGTCTCCTATTTTACTTTTTAATATGAGAAGCTGACAAAAGGGCTGGCGGTTCACCTGATGTTAAGTGATAACGGCCGTTCATCGACATTCTCGAGTTGCCAGTATTTAATAAAGCGGGCTCTGGTTACCTATCAAACCAGCAGAATGCAGAAGTACGCACTTCCACTTGACGCCGCTCTTCTGTGAGGTCGTGGTACTTACCCGGACGGACCTACCCATTCGTGCAACAGCGTAGAGTTCCGTGGCCCTGCCACAGCTAAACTGGTCTACGATTCGCTTCATACATTATATTTTAAAAGACTTTTAATTCAATATTCTCGAGCAACCTAAGTTCGATCTCCGGTGCTGGCACCAATAAAATTGTTAATTTTAAGTGCCGAATTATTTTCAACTTCTAGTTGAAGATATGAAGCCTTAAATAACTTTATCGTCTCTTCACTACGTAGTATAAAAGAAAATTGTCCCGCTGTCTGTCTGCCCCTATGTATGGTTAGATCTTTAAAACTACGCAACGGATCTTGATGCGGTTTATTTTACTAGATAGAGTGATTCAGAGGAAGGTTTATATGTATAAAACATTGCACCCGTGCGAAGCCGGGGCGGGTCGCTAGTCTAGGATATGCAAAAGTTGGCCTGGATTTTAGTTTGATCTAATGATAAAAAATTGGCTTTAAAAAGTAATTTAAGTATGTTTTCCCTTAAAGTTTGCACACAAATAAGGTTGCATATTTATGGTAAAACTTTGGCTTTATAACTATGTTATCTTTTCCCTTATGTGTGCACAAAACCAAGCATAACTTGTTTGATTTACGGCAGTACCGCGCGTCTCCTCGGCGAGTATTATGCAATAAGAGGGCGAGACAGCTGATCTTTATTTTTTTTTAATTCAAAACTGGCCAGCACTTGACTTGGTCTTCCCACCTGATGGTAAGTGGCGATGCAGCCTTTGATGGTAAGCGCGCTATCTCAGCAAAAACCTATTCACTCTTGCCTTGAAGACCTACCTTGTAATCGGACGGAGAGACGGACGCCGGCAGATCTACGCGTGGCGCTGTGGTCTGATTATTTTCGTTTTTTTTCCATCTAAACAGGTTTACACCCACACGGGCATTGGCGGCCGACACATCGATGTGCCCCCAACTTACCGAGAGGTTGCGCAATAGACTCCGGTCGCTTTGCGGCGTGTTACGAGATGAGTCTATTTTTCCACTAATTTTAACTGCTTTTTGTGGCGTTTTAACGACGCTTGCGAATGCTTTGATCATACCACTAGATGTATATACCTGAGCAGTAGCTTTCTTATAGTTTTATTTATTTATTGCACATCCATTAAGTAACAAAAGGTGTAAGGATAATTAGTAAAACAGTTCTTTATGGACCCTGTTTATAGGGCATAGTACAAAACAAATCATAACAAATTCGGAGAGAGCAAGATGTATCACATAGGTAATTTAATGAGGTACTTGTATAAGCAGTTGGTATTTTGACTAGTCATTTATTTTTATAAGTAACATTTATTAGTTTTAATTTATATATAAAATTACATATTATCTAATAAACCTAATCCACGCGGCATGGTGCCAAGAACGCTAGCTGCATTTCCTCGCTGAATAGTTATGCTTAACCTTTGCGCGAGAAAAGAACCAGCTCTCTTGTCACCAGCCGCGGCGTTAAGCCTAGGACATAAACTTTTAAAAAAATTTGATGTGCGAGGACCCCACGGACCTAATGTTTCAACAGCAAATGGCACAAATACATAATCTGAACATAAAGACTCATATTTGCGCCATTTACTTACTTCAGCTGCCTCCGATGCCGCCCCGGCCCTGACCGAAGTACCCCTTAGATGAGAGGCAGCCAAAGTGGGGAAACTATTACACGCGTTATGTTGAGTGAGGTGACTGCAGTACTCTTTTGAAAGGAACCCATATGGAACATTTAGTGTTGTATACGCTTTTAGGCGGCGATGATAATTTAAAATGATATGAAAAATCTCCTAGTTCGCCAAAAAATTCACATTCACAAAAAAAAACGAGACATACAAGTTAGAGCAAAATATACAACACATATGATTAGGTTAAATTATTATAATAGGTTTTTATAGTGCTAATGTCTGCACTTAAAACGAAACGTTAAAATTTGTAGAAAAATGGTCACAAGTTTGCTATTGCCAAGCATTGCTTAAAATCCGAAAAAACAAGGAAAAAAAAATGAGTGGTAAATTAAAGCCTTTGAACGCGATACCAGAAGACGGCGGTTTGATTACCGCGACGGTGAAGAAATTTCGTCCATTTTTAACCGACTTGAAAAAGGAGGAGGTTTCTCAATTCGATTGTAAATATTTTTATTTTTTTTATGAGTCTTCGCGGATAACTTCATCGTTTATGAACCGATTTTAATGATTTCATTTTTTGTTGGAAAGGCGATATCCCAACGGTGGTACCATGAAAGGAAACCCAGATCTAATGATGGCATCCCAGAGAAACCGAGGGCAATCCTCAAATGTTATAAGTTTAATAATGTTTTTAGTTTCCGGTTTGAAGTCGGTTTTTTTTTGTTAAAATTATTATTCTACATATTTTTTCTTATACAGATTATAAAACCCTCCCCTGCAGCATATACCACAGATCATACATGGGTACGTTTTCCAGACGTTCGGTCGCTCTTTGATCGCGTCTTATTCGACGTCCGATCCGGGGCAAACATTTTAAGGCGTACGTACACACAAAAGGGCGAAAACTGGCGCGCTTTTTGTGCCGCAAAGGTGGTCAGCAAACAAGGCACCGGCGGTGCTGCCGCGGCGCTCTTTGGCGGTGGGTTGAAGGGCCCGGGGGGAAAAAAGCCTCCTCGCTGTTGGCTCAGCGGTCGAGCCTGGCTCCTCGCCCGTTTATTTGAGTTTTTAAGCGCGTTTGTGGGCCGCATTACCGCGCTGTGTGCAGCGTCCGCGACCCATTCTGGTTATTAAGCAGTTGTTACGGGGAAAATAACTTGTTCCAGTTAACTGTGACTGTCGGACGGTTTGCCGAGGTCGCTTCTTTGTTCTGTGTGATAACAGTTAACTGTAACTGGATGGTTAGCCTTTACTTGAGACCCAATATGACTCCTCCGATATTGGGTACAGTGCGAATGCTCGGGAACAAATCCAAACAAGCATTGAAAACTATTGCACGTAGAACGCTCTAGAAGCACGTCTCTAACACGAAGACTGAGGTGAATTCCTTATCGGCGATTCGTAGCGTTTTGTTGGCTCTCCCAATCTCAACATAACGTGCGTCACGGTTTTTAAACAATTCGAATTTTGGTTGGCGCGTCGAGCTTTTAACGCGCGCATGCGCTTACGCGCCGAGCGTGAGAAGTGAAAATTACAAGTCATTAGACTGTATCTGATTTAATATCTACATTACTGAATGTTGGGCTACCGTGCGTTGGGGCTACGAGACGCGCGGAGTGTACTAAATGCTTCTATTACCGATTAAACAAATTTAAGGGCGTTTTATTTCGATCTATAAAAACACTGGAAGTAAAAGTAGAGTACGGAGGGGCATATCCATAAACCGACCCCACTACGGATTGGCAGACCTCGAATTTCTTCGAAATATTATATTTTTTTTTATGAAAGTTGCCAAACGAGCATACGGTTCACCTGATGGTAAGTGAATACCGCCGCCCATGGACATCTGCTACACCCGAGTTTTACAGATGCGTTGATAACCTTTTGAAAATTGGGCTCCGGCTACCTCACTCACCAGACGTGAAAGTATTTGTCCTACTTCCACTTTACGCTGGTCTTCTGTGGTACTTACCCGGACGGGCCTGCCCATTCGTGCAACAGCCGAGGCCGCTGCGTGGCCCTACCACCGTCAAATTTATGTTACTATTCTAAAAATCGCAAGTTCGCAAGTTCTCATGATTTTTAACTTCTCCACTGAGCTTATAAGTCAATTCTTAAAATTTCATTGGTTCCGGCACCGATAAATGAACTCACGTTGCTTGAGTATATTGAATTGAAAACGCGCACCCGGCTCCTGAATTGTCACCGCTGAAATTTATTTCCAATTACTGTTACTTAATTCATATACAATATCTTCGGGTGGCTACGTAAAATGAGTCGATTCATATCTGCACCAGATGAGCGGGCATAATTTCATCACCTGCGTCAGACTTATCTGTTTGCTGTTTAACAAGAAAAAATACACATAATTTCAGGGCCGTGGGACATTTAACATACATGAAATCATCACACAGCACGCCCAGGACCTAAAAAGCTATGGAGCGCGCAAACTTTAGCCTCGCTAATTGTGTGTTTATCCGTCAATACAGTGCGCAATGGCAAGTTGACTGCCTCAATCACCGCGCCATCTATGCAGTTAAACGTCAATTTATAACCTCAAAATGCTCCATGAAGTTTGAAAATTAGAAACATTTGCTATTTGCCTGGCTGGTACCGTTTGAACAGTGTATAAATTGAGATGTTTTTAACCAAATAAAACATATATAGTTACAAAAACGAGAACAGTTTTTTTGCCCGTTTACAGCACAGTTCTAGCGGCGCGGGCCTGTCAAACATTCACTTAGTTTCCAAACACGCCAGTAGTATTCCAAGATTCTGCTTTTAGCGTTCTGGTTGCTTTAAAGGTGTAATTACACGTCGGGCGGAGTATAATTTCGGGGCCGCACGGCAGAAATCAAGATAAAACGCCGTTCCGCGTCGATTTGACGTCTATATCCACGTATCGGGCGCCATCTTGGGAGGAATCGAGAAAAAAAATGATGGCGTCTCCCTTGAACGTGTCAAATGATCGGAGATTACGCTCGACGGTGTACGATGGGAAAAAGTAACTGATGAATCATTAGTTCGTTTTAAAAAGATTTAAGATGGACGCGCGTCATTCTTGCGGGACGCTCACGGGCCGGCGGGAACGCGGCTTTGAGTTTCGCCACAGATTAAATAGCAATTGTGTTGTGTGCAAATTATCTCACAAAGTTCGTAAGTTATCTATGGAATTAGCGCCGGTCATTCGAGAATGTTTGTCGTTAACAAAAGAACCATCAGTTAACATATTCGGCAAATGTTTGATCTCGATTGAACGGAAAAATAAATGTGAATATTTGTTTTTTTTAAAGGATTCACTAATGTAAAAATAATTAGTTGAAATAGAACTTAGGTTAGTTTCACTAAAACTCATTTAAAGCCCTCGATGACCTACTTATGGCATTAAAAATAATTACTCTTAAAAATAATTTCTCTTGGTTTTGACTCCGTGGCGCAGTTGCCAAAGTTGTGGCTTCGACGTCCGGGGTCATGGGTTCGATTCCTACACGAGACAACTATTTGTGTGACCCACAGACAGTTGTTTCGCATCTGGGTGTTTGTCCACGTGAAATTTATATTTCTAAAACGTCCTATCCTATACTAAGGGTATTGTTTTAAAAAACAGACGAGAAGAAAGAGGAAAAAATTAAGTATTACGAATACAGTAACTGTGATTGGGCCTTTACCTGTGTTAGGGCCACGCAACGATTCGCTGTTGCAAGAATGGGCTGATTCCACGACTGCACAGACCGGCATTAAGTGGAAGTGTTATATTTCTGCGTTTCGTCTGGCGAGTGAGGTAGCCGGAGCCCACTTTATTTAAAGGTGGCAACGCATCTGCAACCCCACGGGTGTTGCAAATGTCCATGGGCGGCGATTATCATCATCTTTTCATCTTTGATTATCTTAGCATCAGGTGAAGCGTCAGCCATCTTCTCACATAAAAAGTGGACTTTCCTGATTCGGTACAAATACATCATAGAGAACTATTTCGCCTCCAGCGACTGCGATATTGTGATTGGTAGTCTGCACGCGACTTTGGTTCTTAAGTTGACGTAAACGCTCGTTCGGGCTGAGATATTTGCGCAGCTTACAGGTGTTCTGTTTTTGTGGAGCACAACGCTTAAGTACCTCATACGTCGGCTTTAAGAGGAAAGTCGGGCTTAGCCACAAGCCCGAGGCACATCGGGAGATCGCGTGAAATAAAAAAAGAGTGCTGCAAGTGGAGACTGGCAGCGATTTTAGTTTACCCGACTATCGAAAAAGTTAGGTAAGGTTTTTTTTAGCATTTAGTAGTTCAAATTTATCGACTGGCTATTAATATAGGATTTACTTATTAAAATTGAAACATTTCAGTTTTAACCCGACGATCCCAAAGTTGGGTAGTTTTTCTAGCAGTTAGTAGTCCAAATTGGTCAACGGTTCTTTTTATGTAGGATGCACTTAAGCTCAACTCAAAGTTATAGTGGAATGTGGAAATTGGTTAGTTTGTGTGTACAATACTTTATATAGGTACACGGGATTGTTTTGTTTTTATTGATGTAATAATTTTTCGGAAGCGTTTATTCATGAGCTCAATTATCACTTTACAATCATTAAATGAATTTATTGGTCAAATAGTGTTTTCAATAAAACTGTTACAGTTTGAAACGTGTACCTAGTAAAGTATTATTATTCCCCAAGTTAACAATTAATACAAATACAGTTAAGTATAGTACTACGATCAAATGACGGCGATTTGGAATTAAATGTTATGCCCAAGTCTTCAAAGTATCATATGACGTCTCCGCTTGGTATTAGCCCAGGTAGCCCGGTGTGACACGTACCCGATATGAATAAAAGGCGATTTGACAGATCCGGGCTACCGTGAGGGTTTTATGAGGACGCGAATGACCGACCGGTGGGGTGTAGAAAAAAGCTAACCTGTAAGCCGATTCGACGGCCGGCTGTAAAATAATAAAACCTTCGCCTTCTGTTTTCGAAAAATCTCGGTATCTATATGAAAGCGAGTGATGAATTATATATCTTCGGTTTCCAAAGTCTTTGGAAGCGATACCTTTCTTTCTGGATTATTTCTTTCATAATATTTTCTTTACGTGATAACGTGGCAAGCGAGCTGGCGGTCCACCTGATGTTAAACGATAACCGCAGCCCATGGACATTTGCGACACCCAGAAGGTTCAGATCCGTTGCCACGTTTCAATAAAGTCGGCCCCTGCTACCTTGCTAACCAGCCGAAACGCAGAAGTACAACACTAGAAGTCGGTATTCTGTGATTTCGTGGTACTTACCCGGACGGACCTGCCCATTCGTGCAACAGCGAACACTGTTGCGTGGCTACCACAGTTATATTGCATTGTATTGTTGTATTGTTATTGAGTTTCTATTAATTCCTTACCCCCATTTACTAATCATTACTAAATAAGGCTAACTTCAGCTCTCTGTTCAAGTGTTAATGTAGGCATACCTGAATTAACATGCCCGGTTGTTGAGCTATTAAGAGTCGTAAAATGCGGTGTAGGAATTTTAGACTTCCGGCAGTTACACGCCGAGTTGCCAACTCCACTTCCCGATGGAGAGTTTGTGCGGTTTCCTTTCAGCGAATTATTACGTTTCGCGGGGCCTTTGGAATTTGTCAATTCCGCTGCAATCCACAGCTCTACACCGTTTGGTCGTCGTAAGTTACCATTGCTTGTGAGAGTAACTCATAATCATTACCATCTTCGGCCGTAAGACCTCAACTGTTGAACATAGGTCTCCCCAATATAGGGCGAGGCTTATGAGAGTGACTAATAAAGAAAATTATTACATTACATCTACTCAATAAAAAAAAAACAATATAACTATACGAGTATTAAACAATAAATATTAAAGTATAAATACTGTGTACTTGCGACCCGCCCCGGCCTCGCACTGGTGCATTGTATTATACATATAAGCCTTCCTCTTGAATCGCTCTATCTAGTAAACCGCATCAAGATCCGTTGCGTAGTTTTAAAGATTTAAGCATACATAGGGACGGACAGACAGCGGGTTGACTTTGTTATATACTATGTAGTGATGTATGTATAACTAAATAATATTCCCTCATTATTATTTATTTTTCCAT